TTGTTGGGGAGGATGTCTTACAACAGTCCCTGAAAGACTGCTTCGCTGGAAAGGCAGTGGCAACACTCGTCAAGAGAGCTTCTGACTTTACCAGGTTTGCTGAATTCCAGGTTAGCTGCAACAATGGAAGGCCACTGAACCCATCGGAAAATGATGTTTATGCATATTTATGCCATTTACGTCAGCAAGGAGCTGGGGCAACGGCAGGTGAGTCCTTCATATCTGCTTGGAAGTTTATGCAATACACGGTGGGAGCTGGAGCAAGTGGAACAGCAGACATAGTCTCTGGGAGAATCAGAGGCGCGGCCAAAGATTTGATGGCGAAGAAACGCAAGCTCCAGCAAGCGCCGCCACTCCCAGCAGAGGTCGTTTGGAAGCTGGAAGGCTTGATGACAGAGCGAATCCAGCCCAAGGTGAAGGCCATCCTGGGGTTCATGCTATTTTGCTTGTTTTCCTGCTCCAGGTTTGCTGATGCGGCACGAGCTCAGAGTCCGGTGATTTCTGAATTTCAACATGTTATTTTGGTGGAATCCTCCAGCGGTGAATACAAGACAGCTTCAGGTGAGCGAAGGTCAGTTTTATTGCCACTCGTGGCTCTTGGTACAGGGCTTAGCGGAACAGGCTGGGCATTGTCCTGGATGAGTGCCAGGAGACAGTGTGGACTGGGAACAAGCGGCTGTATGATGCCGGCTGATTCTGAGTCTCAGAACAGTTGGCTCGACAGAAGGATGACAACTGCTGAAGGGTCCTATTGGTTGAAAGATTTGCTGACTATGACAGGGATGACTGAAGGTGAAGCGTCTCTATACTCCACCCATTCCTTGAAGGCTACGATCTTGAGCTGGGCGGCCAAGTCGTCGACTTTTGGTTGGCAAGAGAGGCTGGTGCTGGGCCACCATTTGGATGAGGAGACAAAGATGGCTGTGGTGTACTCAAGGGACGCCATTGCTGCAGTGATGGTGAAAGTCCTCCGAATGCTGGAAACGATACGGCAGGGAATTTTTGACCCAGATGCCAGTCGGGCTGAGAGGATTGCAATGGCGACTGGGCTCACTCAACTCCCTGAAACTTTGCCTGAGCAGAATGATATGGAGCGCGAGCTAGAAAGGAGACTAGCCTGCGACCAAGAATATAGCCAGGCGATTGAGTCA